TTGAGGCATCCTCAGTTCCTTCACCCAGTGGACTTTTTAGGACCATAATCCACCCTGATTCCAGCAGTCCTCTTAAAAGAGATAGGCAAGGACAGCCTGAGCGCGAGCACAGGTGGGCACGTCCCACTCTGAGCCTCCCTTTCTTCCTGGCTTTTTGGCTGCGCTGTGAGTTATTTAGCCAACAATAGATGTTTACGTATATTTTTTTTTAGAGCTTGTATTTATTAACAGCCTGCAAAGGGGGAGAGTGGGAGATTTATACTGAAAGCACAGTGAGTTAAAAGGGACAATTAGAGGAGCAGAAAGAGATATCAAGTGGAGAGCTGTAAAGGATATTTTAACGCGCTAAGGTTCTTGAGAAATTTTCCAGGTAGACAGAAGGTAAAAGAAAATTGGCCCATTACAAGCTGAGAGTGGGGAATTGGTGACATGGGATGGAATAATAGCTGATGGGCTAAACTCTTACTTAGGCCAGAGAGCCAGGCTGGGAGGAGGTGAGCCAGAATGCAGCCACAGTTGGGTCAAGAGGCTGAACGGTAGATGTTGGCCAGGACCCCATCAAAAGATACACTCACCCCTGATCCATATAAGAAGGTACACAAAGAAAGGCTGGCATCCTCCAGGTCAGTGTTGAGTAGGGCCCTGAGGAGCTGGGTCTCAGAGGTGGGGTCCAGCCAGGGGCTGGTGGGGACAGTCTGGTTGGTGAAAATACAAGGGAGGATTTGCTGGGAGCTGCCGAGACCCTGAGGCTCCCAGCTGGCTCCAGGGAGCCCTCCCAGCAAATCTATTCTCTCTGACCCCCTGCCCTGCAGCTTGTCATCCAGGAGGACTTCCTGGCTCCCCCAGCCCCCACAAACTTGCCAACAGGCCTTCTGGAGCCCCCATTTGCCATGGTGGCAGAGCGCTGAGTGATTAGTTAGGTGACAAGCAAACAGTTGCTAAATGGGATTTTTGGTTCCCTGGTAATGAACAGCCCCAGCAGGAGAGAAAAAAGGGAGATGCAGTCTGGGGGAGTTCTGATGGTCTGCCAGGGCAGGCACATGTGGAGATGCCCAAGGGGGTGTCTGGGCAGCCCCTTGGAAGCAAGGAGAAGGGTTGCGGGTTGAGCCCTTTGTGTATGGGAAAGAAGGGAGCGTAGGAGACAAAACGGCTGTGGGATACTGTCCGTGCGTGGAAGCAGCAGGTGTCTGGGAATGGGACTCTGGCCCAGGCAGATTTCCAGGGAGCGCTCCAACTTGCTGGCACGGGGGAAGGATCTGGCTGAGCAGAAGAGGCAAGTTTCGATGACGAAATCCACTGTTGGGGAACGTTGGCAAGCATGCCACGGGTGGGGGCCACGTGCTCGGAGAGGGACTGGGGGTTCGGGGTAGGGAAGAGGACCCCAAGGTGGGGGGCTCACACCTCCACTTTCGGAGTAGGATCCAAGTCCCCAATCAGGATTCCTGGGCCTTCCGCTTGCCAGGCTCACCTCCCACACATCCCCAAACAGCATTCCCAGTCCTCAGCTCACAGTTGTTTGCAGATACCCCAAACGTGGTGCCATTGCATGCCTCCAGCCCTCTGCTTGTAATACTCCCCACACTCTTCTCTGGCTGCCTCCTCATCCTCTGAGACCCTTCAGCGTGTCGCCTCCTCCTGGAAGCCCTCCCTGACTGCCCCCACCCTGGCCAAGTTTCTCATGGTAGTAGGGGGTTGCGCTAACAGAGACACCAATCCCATCCTGGTTTCACCAATCCCATACTTGCTTCCACATCTAGGCTCTGAGCTCCTTTCAGGAGAGCCACGTCTTCTCACTTTTAGGTCCCCAGAGCCTGGGCCGATGGCTGGCACATGTAGACCCTTGTTCAACGCTTGTTGAATGAAGGGTAGGGAGCCAGCCAAGCTCTGGGGCCTGCGGAGGAACTTGTGGAGAGAAATTCTGAGACCACTGGTGGTCACCCAGCCCCTCCTGAAGGCCACTTCCCCAGAGAGGAGGGCTGTGTGGCTGGAGGTGAGAGAGGAAGATGAGGAGATGGCTGCCTCTCGGGGCCTAGGGAAAGTGTTGAGCAAAGATGGCAAAGGGGCCGGCCCCACCACAGAGGGGTGGGGGATGGCCTCAGCCTCTGGGAGGAGGATAGGGCTCCTGAGGCAGGAACCCACACCTCCCTGCCCTGAACCACCTAGGAGGGATGCTGGGTCTGGTGAGTTGAAAGGCCTTAGCTTAACTCCCGACCTGTGAACTTGCTCTGATGTTTCAGACAATGCTGTCATTGTGCCTGTGTAGCGTATGTGCTGCTGAATGACAAGTGATGTCATCCACAATAGAGCTGCTTTTATTCCCTCTACCTCTTAGAGGAGCAAGCTGCTAAAATACACCTGGCGTCTGGGCCCTTCTGCCTTGCCTCTGATAACAGTCGGCAACCAGAGACTGTGCTGCGCTTGACAGAAGCGGATCATTTATCAAACATTAGCATTTCTCGTACTGACATTTCACTTCCATACTACAGGACTTTCTAAGTCTTTTTTTTTTTTTTAATTTAATAAAGTGCTTGGACTCTTGATTTTCCTGCTGAGGGCTGTGCTGTCTGAAGTTGGAAATGAAATCAACAACATAACAACATCCTCGGGTTCTAAAGGGACAGCTAGGCCCTGGCACCGGGCTGGGTAAGAGCAGGCAGACCACTGGGGTCAAACGCAGGCCAAAGACAATTTGTTCTGCAGTCACTGGACTCCCTTTAGTGTACATTTCCAGCCTTGTACTGAGGAGGCTTTGTCCAGGCCTGGAAATAGCCTCTTTCCTCTACCTGGGGAACTCTCTCCTGTCTCCAAAGCCAGAGAGGCGGGTGCAGCCTCCAGATCCCATCCACGTCCACTGCTACATGGGTTGGGCCCCAGCTTCCTGGAATCCCCTCTGGGCCCTAGGAACCGGCAGGTCCCTTCCGGCCGCCCCCGAGCCCCCTTAAGAATCAATAGCTCAGCTGCTGCTGTGAAGCTCTTGGGAACAGGTCGGGAATGATCCAGGGCCAGACCGCTCCGGAGACAGCCACAGAGATGGTGCCGACCCAGCACAGCCAGAGCGTGGGAAGTGAGTCATGTCCTGTGCCGGTGAGGGAAGAACCATGGAACTGAGAATGTGTGTGTGTGTATGTGTGTGTGTGTGTGTGTGTGTGTGTGTGTGTGTGTGTGTGTGTGT